CTAAATAAAAGAAATAGCATGTATGTTCTGAATATTTTTCATGCGTGTGCGTTAATAAACCCGTGACTACTGTTGTTGAACTAATTTTTCGTAAACGATAAGACATTTTAATTAGAAGTAACGCGAATTTTCGAGTTTCGTCTTCATTCCTCATTGTCGCATGTTGTAAACGTTTCCTTGCGTAACTTGCCGATGTGATCAGTCTTAACGGATCACCTTTTTCGCATCAATTACTCGCATCAAAAAAAGAGATTTGCTAGAATCGTGTGAATCGACGGCACAAAGTACGCGCGATCAACAACAGCAATATACATATCAATACGAATCTTGTTCGATTCCAACAAACGAACTTAAACTACAATTTTCCTTAGATCTCCTTCAAAGTTGATCTCGAGTACATCTGCCTTCGAACATCTCGCATCAATTAATTGATCCAATTCTTGTCGCAAAAATAAATATTGTTAACTCTCGTTAACAAACGAATTCGTGATACCCTTTGCAGAGCCTCGTGACGTTTGAAAAATGATCACTTAGATTACACATAGTCTTCTTATTGTAACGTGGATATAATCAGTGAGCTAATAAACGTGCTGTACCGCGCAGAGCGCGATCTGTCCCACCCTGCATCCTACTTTTTTTCGATCTAAAAACCGTGACACAGAGAAACGTAAATAACGTTATTTCGAAGCAATAATTCCAGACACCGACACCGAACCCGGGCCGCCTTTCCACCGTATTCTTTTGTCTTGGCAGGTAATAACAGGAGCGGATCGAAGAACATTTCCGTGCGAATAGCCGCTGGAATCACGACAGGCGCCCTGGCGGTGCTTTTTGCTCAGCCGACTGATGTCGTCAAGGTTCGCCTACAAGCTGGAAGTATTGGACGATCGTCGGTGAGATACAGCTCGACTCTACAAGCGTACAAGAATATCGCTGCTGAAGAAGGGACGCGGGGCCTTTGGAAAGGTACCACACATTATATTACACCACTATGTTACAACTCCTCTAGCATGTACATACATGCAGAAATATGATATTCCCTCGCTTCGGGCGATTGCAAACTGCTGAGCTCCTGCAGGATCACAATTCAATGTTTATAAATCGTTTAACTCTTTAGGTCGCCTTGTAACTTGTAATATTATATGATAACTCGTGGCATGAATTATGATTCCCAGTGCAAAGACAGATTGTAGCAGTAAGCAGGTTTAGATCAGCTTCTCTTGTTCAGCTGACTAATAGATTCAGTCAGAGTAGAGTATGGACAGCGAGCTGATCAGTTTGCTGACTCTGTCTGACGTCGTATTTGTTTTAGCTGCTTCATTTGAATTCGTTCAGTTACATCGCGGCATAAATTTTCTTACTACGTTCTTGTCCCGTTGTTCTTCAATGGATCTTCAATTCTGAACAAGGATCTCTAGAAGCACAAATTATGCGATAGCATCTATGAAGAGCACTGACACACCTGGTTGTAGTCGCTGTATATTTATAATAATTAAATCGTTGCCAATATCTTATATTATTCTCCAAATCTTTATCTGAGCCTCTAGCTCGAATTCGTATAATAAGTATAACAGAACCAAACGCGAGCGAAACGAAATTCGTTTGGTATATAAGAAAGAATTATCAAACATAATTCAACGATTTGTAGCCTAATATAATATTAGTACTGAGAGTATTAAGAATCGAATGGTTGGATTTAACGACGTTCTTGTATTCAGGTACCATGCCCAACATCTCGAGAAACGCGATCGTAAACGTGGCGGAGATCGTTTGCTATGACATCATCAAGGATTTCATCTTGGAGCGCGGCTACCTGCGCGATGGGATCCCTTGTCATATAACGGCCGCCGTGGCGGCAGGACTGTGTACCACCTTGGCTGCTAGTCCTGTAGACGTGGTGAAGACTCGTTACATGAACAGCGCTCCCGGCGAGTACAAAGGCGTGAAGGATTGCGCCGTTCGTATGATGATGAAGGAAGGCCCGTCCGCGTTTTACAAAGGCTTCGTGCCCAGCTTCACGCGTCTGGTATCCTGGAACATCGTTCTGTGGATCACCTACGAACAGTTCAAGGTCTACGCGAAGAAGATGAACGGCGACCAATAAAATATCCATCCCTGTCGCGTTCCGCATCGTTCTCGATCGACTGCAGCACCCGTCGATTCACAAGATGTGCACAGACAAGCCGTGTTTTAATCAACTGCAGCTTCATAATCTGTATTTTTCGATCGTGTAGCTTAGAGATGGGAGAATGTATTGTCGAATGTATCGGTTAGATTTGGTCGTTTTTCGAATAGAGCCTCTCTTGCCTACTGTCGTTTGCAGTTGTTGTTCCACCGCAAAATTTTGACGCATATATTTACATACATATAAGTTTTCCTCTTAAGTACTTAGATAGTATGCATGATTGTATTGATTAATTCAACGTCGTATAATTACTTACTTTCCATTGATTGTCGAACTTGATAACAGTTTCAGGATCCTGTCTGTAGGTAACAGTATCTGTCGCTGGCTTTTCTACCTGATACGTATTCGTATGTAATAATTATTCACAAAGATTCTTACTTACGTATACGTAGAGGGTGAGCGTATAGTACATGATAGAAAAGCTGTTGACGTTGCGCTGCTTCATAGGATATTGTAATTGTTCGCACGAGGATAGATATTAGACTTTCTTTCTCCTTAACAAAGGACCTTAAGTGTAAGAGTGTTTAAGCACAATTTCGTTGATCTTACTTAGTTTGCAAACGACGGCAGACCAATTCTCCCATCTATCGTTGTATTTTCAATTTTTTTTTTCGTAGATATTTCGACCGCGCGTGCACTCATGATTGGGAGTTGATCAAATTAAAATCAATGTTCGTGATTTGACAAAACGGAGGAAACCTGTCCGTCCGAAATTACGTTTGAAACAATTCGAATACGTAACTGCGATTGACCTGTTTTAATACAGTTCGTTAAGTAAAAAAGAGAAAAGAAAAAGAAAGGAACGCTCGTTTTTCAAAAGTCTTTTTCGTCTTTCAACGGAGTGCACGTACGATCAAGGAGATCTTAGAAAACTCTCAATAATCCCATAATGAAACATTTTCGACTACGTAAGTCAGCTTTAGAGACATTAGTTGGACAATTGAGAGAAAGAAATTTCTCCTCTCTCCCTGATGAATACTAACCTAATATAAACTTGCGCGCATTACGATACGCCATACAGACAATAACGTTTCAAAAATTGATTTCAATGTCTCTGCAATGTCTGTTGACAAAAATTACACACACACACACATACACACGCGCGCGCGCGCGCGCGGCTACACACAACGATTATTCGACTGATTTCCCTTTCTAGACTC